TTCTTCATATCTCCAGAAGTATCTGATTCCATTTCGTCGATCAATTTTGATTCTCCACTCAGTATCACAGAGAAACGGTCCTGTAAGAAACAGAAATGAAATTTCAGATCAAGACATCAGAAAGGAAGAGGCGAAATCGAATAAAATGATAAAAGAAGAAACTGAGGGAGAAGAAATGAGAAAAAGAAAAAACTCAAGCAAGAATGTTAGCGCACCTGCTGTATAACTCCAGTTAAAACTGCCCCGGTCATATCGAGGAGAAACAGTCCAAGTGGACCACGGGAAGCGACTTCTAACTGATCACAGGTACGCGCCAAAGACATGAAGAACCTGAACAGTACTTAATTTTCTTCCTTTTTTTCAAGAAAAGTGCCTTCATTTTAGAATCCAAATGAATTCACTATAGAATGGAATTGAATAGCATATAACATTGTTGTGCAAAATCATATTCACGAAGTACTCTAGCGAAACGTGTAAGAAATTCTCGTTTCTGGTATCTTTTCTTAAGAAAGTATCGCTCATGTGATCTCTAGACCACGAAACTGCGAGTATTTCGGAAACTTCGGATTGTTTTCAGTAAAACTATTGAATTGTATGATAAGAAAATTGGAAATAACGGGTCCACAGCGTATCCCCTTTGGCCACTTTGGAGAATGTTTGTCAGCTTATCTGGGATTACTGTTATGCATAATGAATTAAAGACATACCTATGTTCTGCATCACTTTGTGAATCACTCGATGACGATTTTAAAGTCCTACTTCCACGTTGAGTGTAGACGGAATCAAACTGAAGGAGTTCAAACGAACTGTATGCTCTATTACAAAACGGAAATAAAAGGAATTCATACCTCAGGTGAGCGTAGATACGCATCAACATGGCTCATTAGAGCAGCCCAGTCCCCATGTTTATATTCACACCGCGTTCCTTTACAAGCAATCTGTAAAAGAAGTTCACAAATGGTGAGGATGTTCAAACAACAAACTGACCTGCACGGATCTTGAAACGATATCAAATGGATGAGAATCCATATTGAATACGGACTCCTTGAGCTCTAATGCAGACATGGTGTCAGAAATGGGATCAGGTAATGAAGATGTGTTAACTTTTCGCCATGTTCCACGTTGAGAAGGAAAACTAGTAGAAGACACAATCTTACTCACATGACATAAGCGATCAATGCGGAAGGAAAAATGTTCTCACATTTCTATATCGATATGTTCCACAAAGTACTCGTTCGTTGTTGACATCGAATTCCAGAGCGCCCATAGAGAACGACAACCAGGGTTTTTATATAAAAGCCCAAAATCCAATAATGTTTCTCCCTGACATAATAAAGGATGTTGAGAAATGCTTCAGCTTAAATATATAACATTAACATATTATTATAGTCGAAAATAACCAACATTGTCAGAGTCCACCGTGAAGAGATGAACAATTTTTCCACGTTGGTCAGACAGGAAGTGAAACTAAAACAAATCTACTTAGACCTGAAAGGAGAACCTGAGATACAATATAGTAGTATCCTCACCTTGGTATTCCTGCTCGTAGCAATAGCAACAACTAAGACAACGGAAGAGTC